CTGATAAGTGTCTTCAAACAACAACTGTCTAGTGTCTTAAACGAACAAACAACTGACAAGTGTCTTTAACCAACAACTGTCTGGTGTATCTAACTAACAACTGACAAGTGTCTTCAAACAACAACTGTCTAGTGTCTTTAACGAACAAACAACTGACAAGTGTCTTTAACCAACAACTATCTGGTGTATCTAACTAACAACTGACAAGTGTCTTCAAACAACAACTGTCTAGTGTCTTTAACGAACAAACAACTGACAAGTGTCTTTAACCAACAACTATCTGGTGTATCTAACTAACAACTGACAAGTGTCTTCAAACAACAACTGTCTAGTGTCTTTAACGAACAAACAACTGATAAGTGTCTTTAACCAACAACTATCTGGTGTATCTAACTAACAACTGACAAGTGTTTTCAAACAACAACTGATAAGTGTCTTTAACGAACAATTTCAACCAATTTCAAATCATTTGGACCACATTGAGATACGCCGGTTAGATAGCTCCGTTGCATTGTCAATTTTTTTAATCTGATGCAGACAATGGAAACCTGAGACACACGTCTTACTTACTGAATATAAAAGCCAAAATCATTTCCAAAACTATACCCTTCACGTCAAAAACACTTGCAAAGGCAAGCCGATTGTTCACTGAAAGAAACACTAGGCGATGCATCAAACAGTAATTTACTTTTAAGATTCTCGATGCCGGCCCAGAACTACTAGAGAATGCCTTTGAAATGACCAGGTCAATAGCCGAATTCCGATTTTATGAAGTTTGTCGTCTTGCTTTGTAAAATATATTGTCCCTATCTAAAGACTCTCCGGGGACGGAAATGCGATTTGCTAAAATATAATTACGATGATATAGACGCCTCGACTTCATCAAAGGATTCGCTGTTTACCAATTCAGACCCCCTCTCGTGGAGATGAAGACAAAACTCATCCCAGAACATTCAAATGACCATGGCTTATCACAGACCAAACCACAACAATTTGTCTCAAGAGGACATCACACAGAAAAGAACATTAATACCGTGTTCTGATGTAAGCTTCCGAAAAGAAAGTCTTTATAAGCAGTACTAGTTTCAAATGAATCTTTTTGGTTGTATATGTCTGTAGAGGAGAAATTCGTGTATTCATTTCACTTTCATCACATACAATAATGATAAAAAGGGCTATAGAACATACATCACCCAGAGGAAGAAATTAAACACGACAATTATCTTACTCTCGTTTCCGTGCAATTGTGTCACATACAAACATCCTCGTGTCGAACTTTGATATGTCGAAGGACCTGTGAAGATCCGGGTTAGAATAGGTCTTCAGTAACCCATGCTTGTCGTAAGAGGCGACTAACGGGATCGGGTTGTCAGGCTCGCTGACTTGGTTGACACATGCCATTGTATCCCAATTGCGCAGATCGATGCTCATACTGTTGATCACTGGATCGTCTGGTCCAGACTCGCGTATTTACAGACCGCCGCAAAAAGCTGGAATATTACCGGGTGTGGCGTAAAACTCACTTACTTATGTGTCGAAGTGAAAGCTTAGTCCCTGTGTAAACAGGTATTCAGTCATCATTTGTTGTGTCCGACCTCGGGGGCGGTGGGGTAGTCTAGTGGTTAAAGCGTTGGCTCGTCACGCCGAAGACCCGGGTTCGAATCCCCACATGAGTACAATGTGTGAAGCCCATTTCTGGTGTTCCCCGCCGTGATGTTGCTGGAATATTGCTAAAGAGCGGCGTAAACCCAAGCTCAGTCAGTCAGTGTGTCCGACCTCGTATTCATGTAGGTCCCTTCAACTTTGACACAAGGACCTTGAATATTCATATCAAATAGCAACATCCTCTCAAATGCCAGTGTGTGACTGAACCTAAAAGAATATTGAATCATTAGTTGTTTTTTCCAAACCAGATGAGTTAGTTTGCAATCCCTCCTGGTACTACTACAGCAGGCTTGTTGCTTTTCATCAAACAGCAATGACCTTGAGCATTTTCATAATTCACAGATACCCCTTTCCAGTGTATAATAAGTCTGTCTCACAGCCCGCACTATTCTCCCTTCTTCCTAGCCCTTTCTGCAGTACTAAAAACCCTACAACCTTCCTCAGTTTCCGAATCTCACATCTCACTTGGGCTCCTTTCCAAGTTGAAAGAAAAGTGTTTGTTTATGTCAAAGCTATATATATTCAGAGAGTAATCTTAAATCTAGTGCATGATACGTCCATGTCCGATAACGGTATGATATGCGTGAAAAATCAAGGTGAGCAAGGGTATACTTACTGATAATTAATCCAGGTTCTATAGTGTTTAGAACGTACAGAGCACTTGCACATTGAGTGCCACGAATGGACAGACACAATTGCAAGTGCAACACACTACCTGTGTATTGAGTACACATGGCCACGTATGAGGATCTGCCATTGTTCTGGGAAGAGGACGCACTTAGAGCGCAAGTATTTAATCGTGGCTAAACCTGGACTTGGTGCAGTCCAAGGTATCGCCCGTAAAATGCAGGGTGTCCTTCGAGCACCTAGGCGAGGTGAAATGGGTGTAACGCTTATTTAAGGTTATCCTCCCTCTCTCTCTCGTAGACATTTAATAACGTAATGCAAAGATACTTTTGCACCCGTGATCTGGGTTGGAATTGATGCTTGAATGCTTGTTCCTGGTGACGATCCTGTATACACCTGGAATATTTCTGAGTGCAATTTACCAAACAAACAAAACAAACAGTAAAGAGAGGTATTTGTGACTTTGTCATGGACGGTTCAACAGCCTATCTTACCTACCTATCTATCTGGTACAAAACCATCGCAACCACTCCAAATGTGGTTGTCACGATCACAATGCTGCAGTGACCGACATTCTAAAACAATCGCCGGAGACTTAAGGTTTTTGGTAATACTAGGAAGGAGTACTGACTTTGTAATTTCCTAATCCTACATGACAAAACGTACACATTTCACAGATCATGGCGTGCAGTTTTTGATTACGATTTATGTCGGGAACAATCAATTGTCTTCATTTTACAAATTTTGAAGTGCAATTAAATTGTTCGATGAAGATTTCAAAAAGGCGTCACACCACTCTCCCCCAAAAGCTGTTTGATTGGGGAATGTGCTGCACCACGGAATGCCTTGGTAATTCAAAAAAATTCAAAATATTGTATTGGATACACCTGGAAGACTTTTTTTAAATCTGATGAAGATAATATACGATACAATTCCCGATTTTGACATTTACCATGTGTTCCAGTGTTTATTTTGAATTTGCCTTGTGTTTATGACAGGTGACATAGGTGGGGCTGGATAGGCTCCTTATTGTCCCCAACACATGGCAACATCAGTATTTAATAAGTCATGAACATGTTAAAGTCGATCACAAGGGCCTGACTCATAATGGACGAACCTCAGATCGGTAACTTTCACATCCAAGGGACGCAACTCTGTATTCAGCCACAGACGACAGCCACTTAGCAAACTTTTATGATGGGCAAGGTGTAAATGGGCCCAGTTGCCCGAACACCTAGTAAACTTTTGATAATCAATCAATCAGACGACAGGGCCAATAACGTCAACCATTTGTTGTTGTCTTCCACAGACAACTCCGTCTGTAAGATCCTATTAATGTAACCTACACATGTTTTTGACGCCAGTTGACAAGATATTGACCATATCGTCCTCTTCATGTCCTTTAACCAAAAGCTTCTCTCAGACTCTTGTCGAGTCAGATTCACGTCCAGCAAGCTTTAGCCTTACATTGTCATCCGTGCGGCGTCCGCTGTGCACATTCACACAAAACACCGTGTAACTCAAACGACATAACCTGTTAAGTGATTCGACAGGAAGATAATGGTAACCTCGTATATATGCGAAGTGCAGTCACCGTGGTACCTGCTTTTTACACTTGGAGAATATCCACAATTGAATTTGACATCAGTACATTTCATTGCGGCGTCCGTGGATCGAAGCGTGCGTCTGGTGAATGTGAATTATTATTTTTTATATTGAGCAAATTTCCTTTGCACAGTCGTTCGATTCTTTTCGGTCATTTTGCTTTTAATACGACAATGACCTGAGAACCATCAATATAATTTCACGGATGTAAAGTATCGAACCCGGAGGAGCATTAACCATTAGCCCCTTACCAGAATGTAAATTCTATCAAACTACAGTTTACGCCCAGGTTTCGTCACGCTTATTAATGTATTTATTAATAAATAAACCTTTTCCATTGTGATAAGATATCACTGCTAAAACAGAGTCTTTTGTACAATTTCTGTATCATGAATATTAAAGAAGGCTAGGTTATTTTGAGAAAAAAAAATTATTTGATAATTATTTACCAGATTCCTAAAGAAGCATTAACCATTCACCTATGCCCGAAATCAGAACATAAATTCTATCAATTACGATTTATACCAGGCCGCAATCACGGTTATTATTTTAGTTATTAATAAATAAAACCGTTTTCAATGTGATACCAAATCACTACAAAAACAGTTTCGATCGTACGAACATTAAAGAACGCTAGTTTATTTGAGAAAAAAGGTTATTTAATGATTATTCACCAGATTCCCGAAGAAGCATTAACCATTCAGCTAAGCCCAAATCACAACGTAAATTTTCAGATTACATGTACAATTCATACCAGGGCGCAAAACATGGCTTATTATTTTAGTTATTAATAAATAAAACCATTTCCAATGTGATATTGAGTGAGAATGGTTTTACGCCGCTTTTGCAATATTCCAGCAATATCACGGCAGGGGACACCAAAAATGGCTTCACACATTGTACCCATGTGGGGAATCGAACACGGGTCTTCGGCGTGACGAGCGGACGCTTTAACCATTAGGCTACCCCACCGCCGATTCCAATGTGATAAGAAATCACTACTAAAACCGTTTCGATTGTCGGGAACATTAAAGAACGCTGGGGGTATTGTGAGGAAAGGTTATTGAATAGTTATTCACCAGATTCCATACTTTCCCTTTCAGGTGGTGCGGATGCTGATAGTTGTTGTGTTCGTCTTCGCAACGTTGTGGATGCCGTACCGAGTGATGGTTGTCTATAACTCCTTCGCCAGGAAGAAATACTTGGACCTGTGGTTTCTCTTGTTCTGTAGAACCATGGTGTACATCAATAGTGCCATTAATCCAATCCTCTACAATGCCATGTCGGTCAAGTTCCGTCGTGCCTTCAAGAACCACTTGTGCTGTGGTAAGTTGCTCGGATTTCGTTCTCTTGATCTTTACCTCATAGAGACCGTGCATTGACTGTAATACAATTGTATAGAATAGTCGCCCTCGCAGCTTACCGTTCTTTGGTCAAGGACATACATGTGCTCTAGCCTGCACTTGGTGCTCTTTGTTTCTACCTTCATCTTTTGTTCTATATTTGACTTTGAAGATATTTTAAGACAAAATGTATCTTCAGTGTAGAAGGAACTCGTTAATCTGGTTTTAATCGCCGTAATCTTCAGATTCCTGATTTATATATTTTGAAACATTTATTCCGAAAAAGCTTTCTTCACTTAGCCCCCTTGCCCCGATTTCTCGAAACAAACCTAAGTCTGCGTTTTAACTTAAGTTAGAGTTTTTACTCAAATTTGAGAAACACATTTCCCAGAATGAAATAAAATCGATATTAAACTCAAACATTGTAGACAATTTGAGTTTGGTGAATAGAATAATTAAGTTGTTTGGGCTTTTTTATTTTAAAAATGCAGCTGAGTTAAAAATTCAACTGTTTCAATTTGTCAAACTCAGTTTGAAATTTGAGTAAAAACGAGAAATCGGGGTCAGATGCAACAGTAACAACAGAGTGTTTGGTTTAACGCCGCTGTCAACAGTACTCCAGTTACATCAAGGCGTGTCACCCGAGTCCCAACCAATAAACTGCCCGTCGAAAAACAACATAAACCTTGGCATTACACCATAATCCTTGGGATTACATCATAATCCTTGGAATTACACCATAATCCTTGGGCTTATGACGCTGGAGTACCAGAGTACTGAACTGTCACGTGGTCTCACGCCGATGTCGTTGTTGAAGACGACGGCGTATCGCTAATACCAGCGACTGGTTTGAATTTGGACATATTTTGAATGTCTACGTGTGTATTTACTTTACAAAAGATAAAATTTATCGAATTTATAAGTTTATTTGAAACGAAAATGTATGAAACTAAACTATGACATCCCCCTGTGATATGTACAGACACACAACAGCGTTCTTTGTTGTCGTATCTCGGTACTTCTTTCGAACCATAAAAATAGCTATTTATTTGCTATGTTAGTTTTTCTTTGTGGTTTAACGCCAAGTTAAAAAATATAACAAATAAAGCGTATCAAGTGTATAGTCACAGATACAATATCCATACTGTAGGCATCGCGTGTGTTTAAGACCACTGATTGTGCTTTCTTTCGGTGGGAGATGGGTTCGGAAAAACGTATATATATACTCCATTCTGTTTCTTTGTATTTTGAAGTATGTACATTTACATCAGATTATGAAACTGCATCACAAATCAGCCCATTGTAAAATGGACCCATGAACATCCGGGTTAGAACTGGTCTTCATCAACCATGCTTGTCGTAAGAGGCGACTAAAGAGATCGCTGACTTGTTTGACACTTGTCATCGTATTCCCATTCCGTAGATCGATGCTCATGATGTTGGTCACTGGATTGTCTGGTCCAGACTTGATTATTTACAGACCGCAGCCATATAGCTGGAATAATGCTGAGTGCGGCGTTAAACGACAAACCAACCAACCACTGTAAAATGATCGTTATCTTTGCATCAATATATCATGTCATCTTGTGGTGACATTCATGGGGCTTAATGGTTTTGTTCATCACCACCACGTGCACCTATTTGTGTACCTCACAGTTACGTTGTTTATGCATGCACCCTATGATGCACGCACCTGCACATCTTCCCACCAGCACCTGCACACTAGGCACCCTTTCAGATCACGATACTGCAATCAACATCCCGTGTGTTTAATCCTAAATCTGTATATAATCATCAGCCTCATCAAGGATACCTTGAGGACACGTGTACATGACTTCATGTCTTCATGACTTGACCTGCTGGGGGCATTTAAATGGGATGTATAGAACAACGGAACCTCGTTAAACCGGCCTGTACATAGCCGAAGAGGAACACTTTTATGGACAGACAACTTTTTCATTGCAACACTAGTATATGCGACGTTTCGGTGTAGATCCTAACATAGTTATCAAGTAAATGATACACAACATTATGACAAGGAGAAACATAATTTATACAAATATTTTTATACAATTAAAGAGGTTGATGTACAGTAAGTTGTAGTGGTGGTCCGATTAACTGAAATAATCGAAGATTGGTCGTAGTGACTAAACGACCAAGCAATCGATCACAATTTCTCATAATCGAACACAAACAATTCTGGAACTCTTGTTTTCATTAACAATATTTTTCACATGGTTTGTTTTGTCTGTTACATTTCGTAAGCACTACAAGCTCGTTTCATGATTGAATTTATCTTAAAGACTCTAAGAAATTTATGTTCCTAACATACTAGTCATCCTTTAAAGATGTGAAATTTTGCCCAAAAAAACAAAAGAACTACATGTACTTGTTTTTTACCTTATTTTTATGTGCATTAACATATTTTATAAATGATGCTAACCAATTATTTTCGATGATTGATCGGTAGTAATGAACCAATCATCAATTATGAGATTTTAATCAATTCCCAACACTAGGAAGTTGACATAATGGTGTTAGGATCTGCACCGAAACGTAGCATATATTGCAATACAGTGGTCTATCCATAAAAAGTGTTCCTCGTCATCATGCCAGCGTTTATATGCCACATAAAGAAGACACTGCACAGAGGCCAGTGGTCTGGTCATATTAATAAGTGCAATACCATTTGGATCTCTGTTCCCAGCCGTAATCGCCCGGGTTATCCCGATTTTCGTGGACAGGATTAACTGGCCTGGATTAATTAATCTGGATTAACGGGCTAAGCATTCGGTAAATTCCTTTGGGGTCACATAAATTTGTTTATAAGCGGTTCGTTACCATAAACGTTTAGAGTTTATTTTGGTAGTATCCAATTAGACAAGTAAACGAGTACACATTTATCAACTTTTATTTACATCTTTAGATTTCCAGTTGCAATATTTTCACACTGAAATGTGATACCAATATAAGGGGCGTTAGTCCGTTCTGTAGGTAGATCTGTCTCAAGAAAAGAAATCACTCACAGGTCTGTGCATACCGTTAGCAAGAGAAACTTTCAGTTTTGATTATGTTGTCTTACACAAAGGCTAAACAATGCACGGTATTAATTAAAACTCTCAGAATCAACGCTTACGTCGACAATAAGGTACTGAAGACTGAGCACACAGAACGTCCGTGTCCTCAAAGCGATCTCTCATGTCTTAACCCCCCATCTGTAACATAGACCTCCATCTTCATCATAAACCCATGGTTGTTATAGCTGTCAGATTGCCTTGTGATACACCAAATGTCGGGGTTAGTCTTGTACTAGACTAACAACTAGTCTCTGAAATGAAAATATTTTACAGAAAAAATGCTCATAATAAAAAAAATAAAATATAATGAAAAGGAGCCCTGAGACTTTCTTCCTGAAGCTGTGGAAATCTAGACTTGCCGCATTTTCTAGACTTGCGTGGGCTTTCTTGGATGTATTTACTTCAGGGTCTGTACGGCAGACTAGTCTTGTACTTGAGAAGCGCTGTCGCTAAAATAGCATCGTTTGTGTGTGAATGTGAGGAATAACGTGAGTTTAATTCTGTCTGTGCACTTCGGCCCAATAGTTGAACAAGCGTTACTATGGAGGCCCGTACCTGTTAACTCATGTCAACATTTAGATGAAACACTTTGATTATTCAGTCTACCTTTTAACCAAAACCATTTGTGACCCTTCTAACTTCATTCATTATAATGATCCGATGTATACTCATACAATAATATTATCCGTGTACATATAGCTTGAAATGAGTCTATGAATGTATCTAGTCATTAAGAGTTCGAATCCCAACATGGGTACAATATGTGTGTGTCTTTTTCCCTGTACCCCCACCTGATATAGCTTTAAAGAAATTCTTGAAATAGAATCTGATCAAGCAAATATACAAAATTATAAATTGTAAATTTAAAACGATATAATATATAACGTCAACGCCAGAGAACAATGTTCGATTGTCCGACCAAACACGCTGCGTAAAACGCAAAAGATCGACAGAAACTATACGAATGTCCTGCCCTTACCGTGTCCATGATTCCTCAACGAGAACAACAAGATACAGAGGTGAATCCCTTCCACTCAAACCCGGCGTACATCGATGTTCATCATTCCTAACCCAGGTCGTGTTTAACATCAGAGGTGAGGTGAAATTGGGTTTAACGTCGTGCTTGAGAATATTTCGCTCATATGACGACGTGCATTCGTGTGTATGTGTATGTGCGGCTGCTTGTACAAGTACCATATTTTAACGTCTTTTGGTATGACGCGGTCGGGGATCGAACCCACGACCTTCCGATCTCCGGGCGGACGCTCTAACCACTACACCACGGAGGCGGTCTTTAACATCAGAATTCAGAGAAAAAACATCGGAATACAAAGAAAACAGAATTACTTTTCAATAGTTATGTTAAAGGTTTATACAAACTAGATAATATTAAAGTTAAAACTACATAAACCTATGAATACAGCAAACACTTAATGTTTGTACAGAAGCAGAGATATATTTTTGTAACAACCTCTAAGGAACATAATATTTAATTAATAATATTATCAGAGGTGTTTTGTATGTTAAAAAACATTTTAACATTGTCTGACCTTGTTTTTCTTCAACAGTGCTTAAAACACGTAGGAGAACTCGCCAGTACGTCTAGTTATAAAGTGCTTAATTTAGACCCTTTAGTGCCATCTATATAAGATCAGGCGATATTAAGTCAACATTGAATACACTTAAGGGATTGCCCTTAAGTCGACCTAACGGTTGTGAAAACATAACCTAAGTTCGGCAGTCGGCCTGGCTCAATTAGAACCGTCTCCATCGTAGATCCTGTACACTGATTTCATGACAATGATTCATGACCCTGGCAAACTGTAACGGGACGATGAACACCCTCTAGCACCCAGTGACCTATATATCGGCAACAGTGCAGGCCAATCAACACAATGGATGTTTG